AAGGAAATTATGCAACACCTCACATTTTCTGGGCTCTCTGGCTGAAATACTCGGTAGTCAGTGGAGGATGCCTGTCAGCTTAGAGTAGCCACCAAACAGTCATTCATGTGGCTGTAAACGTCCTTTAAATGAAATGATAAATTCTTAAAGATTTTTGAAAATTGAAAATCTTAAAAATGGCCCGTATGCATGCACTGCATTTTTAAAAGCACCTGGCAGCAAGTGGTTAAGAGACAATACTCCTTGCCCTGTTGAAAATTTCTATTCCTTTTAAATTTACATTGTGAATCGTTTTTCATTTGAATCTGCTTGAAACAAGCCTTTTTTCTCTTTTTTTTCTGCAATTTTTCTCATTGAAAACAAGAAATTTTCCGTTCCTTTTCATGAATTTTGCATTCGAATATTCAAATTTGAAAAATAATTTTTGAATGTTCGATAATCGATTCAGATATTTTGATATTTGGCATAGCCCTACCCATTGGAAATATTTAGAGCTAGTCTCAACCTTCCACAGTTCCTGATTTTTCTTTCGCCATTAACCTGGTTAATTACGAAGATGGTCCAATTTTCCATAGCCCAAAATAATATGGATGGATGTTCACCCTTTGTTTTAATTGCATGTGCTTGATGAATCATCCAAGGTTAAAATTAAGACATCCAGTGCACCACTCGCTTTTGCGGAATGAGCACACTTATGTGGATGCCGAAGGGCAAAACACCACATATTTATATGTGACACAACCGAACAAAATGAGTTGGAAGTCCCCAGAGCCACTTTTGGAGTGGGCCCTTAACGAATCTTGTACAATATGCCGGTAAAAATCAATGGGAACCCGCAATATTTTACCCACCAGATGCCTGTTTTCACCAGACTTTCAAACTTGGTAATACATCTAACAAGGAGCTCAATTTTCTCGGGGAAAAAAGTCCTTAAGACTCATTTTATGAGATCTGTGAAGAGTCAAAGCAATACCGGTAGTTACAAATGAGGTGTTGATTTTAGAGTACATGTAGCAGAACCTGAGGGTTTAATGTTGAATTTTTCGGGGTTTTTGTTTTGCAGTAACATGGTCCTCGCGCGCTCGGAGGGCTTGCATGAGATGGGACCCATCCGCTGGCAGAACCTGGTGTGCCTGATCATCGCATGGATCATTGTGTTTGTTTGCATCAGTAAAGGCGTCAAGTCCTCCGGAAAGGTCAGTATATAAAGACAGTCTACTGTGGTTGGGAATAGGGCCATTGTTTTAATTTAGGGCTTGATATGCTACTGGAGGGTAGGGCTTATGGGTAGGAATTTACGTTTAATTTGAAAAACGTTTGCAAAAACTTTCCCATTTAAACATTCATTCAACACTTTACAGCAGCCACCACTGCCTACCTCATTCTTTTCGTATGTGCTAAATTATATAATTCAACAGTGCGCATTGTCCAGCCTACAGTGTGTAAAAATGTAGATTGATGTTTGGGCATTTAAAACAAGCAGTTTTCCATGTTTTTCTCAAAAGGTACATGGATGCTGCAAGGGAAAAAACACAGTATGTAACAGGCTCTGTTTACGATAGAAATGAATGCCAGATTGTGGCAATCAAAACCTCAAACCCCTAGTGGGGGCGTTTCCATTTAAATGTTTTGGAAAATCTAAAAACGGATTTGGAACTTTTTACATTTAAACATGTAAACGTCCCACCCTTAGTAGGGCTAGCTGTGCCAATTATTTGAAAATTATATTCAAATATTCAATAGATGGTGAAATATTTAAATGTTTGTTTTCAAAATTTAACATTGGGAGACCTGTGAAAGTTAATGAAATAAAAGGGGAAAAATTTGTCTACTTTTTGACAGTTAATGTAGCACCCAACAGGAAGAACTGAAGTCGTGATGGCACGTTCAATAAGCCTTTTGCAAGTGAAATTTGAATAAAATCTGGTACACTGAGTTCTTTAAAGTTGTTTGGACATAATTTGAATTCTCCATATTAAGGACAATCGTTGTAACTCTGAATTTCCAGGGAAACTTTTCTTAGCTACATAAAGAATGCCCTCTCAATGGATAAAAAGGACACAAAGGAACCGGTCCATTCCAGAGATAGTGGTTGCTATGCAAAGCTTGCCTCGAATCATGAGGTATAGCAACGGTGTCTTTAGTCTGGGGAATTCATATTGTTATGTTTATGTGTATTAAGATTACTCATTGTACCAGGTTTTATTCAAATTAATTTGCAAAGGGCTTATTGTGCCATTTGGTTTGTGATGTCGTAGCTGTTAACCTGCTGATTTGGCCAAAATGCGCTGTCTCAATGAGGGTATCTTTGAAATAAGAACAGCTGTGCAGGTGTTGTGCACATGGATCAGTTTTGTGCACGAAATCGTAGTCTGGTACCGAGACTCCCCACCAATGCGATGCAGCTAAAAGGATTTTTATTCCCATTGAAGACCCTTATATCCATCAATGTTTTGCATGAAATTGATAGCTTTTGAGTTGTGTGAAGTTCTGAAAAAAATGTAAAGTTTACTTTGGAGTTTCTACATGTACAGTATTTGCTAAAATGGGCATTTTAGAGGCTTTCCGGTACATTTGCAAGAAAGAAGGTACCGGTACATGGATCATTTTGCAAAAGTACCTCAACAAGATGAGGTTTAGATCGTGGGCCGCCCAGCAATAAAGTGCACCATGATCTGATGAATGGCCGGCGCTGGACATACATGTACTTTCACAGCAGCCGTTCAGCATGTGCTTCTGCACGGTAGCTTTGTATGTGCCACAGTACACGGGGTGGAGACCGCCTTCTGTGATTTCTCTCCTTACCTTGTACTGTATTCATGGTTAGCATGAAGCATTATTTTTAATAATAATGACGATTTATAGAGCGCACAGATCCACCAAGTTGCTCAAGGCGCTAGTACTGTGAAATGAATGAAATGCCTCAGTGAAGAGATGAGTCTTCAGATCCTTCCAAACTGCAGGAGAGAAGGGAAGATCGTAACCATGCTGGTAGATTGTTCCAAAGACAAGGTGCAGCACATGACAAAAGAGCGAGCTCCCCATGAATGAAATGACGTAGTGACTTTCACATTTGGTAGGGGGATATTTTTGCAACTGTGCAGCTGTTTGTGAACTTCCAACTTTCCATTTTCATGGTTTTTCGGGGGGAGAGAAATTGCGCCGTGTATTTTGGAAGCTCCCCAGACATTTTTTGTTGAAAAATAGTGACTCACACATTTGGTTGGGGGATATTTTTGCAACTTTACAGTCGTTTGTGAACTTCCAACTTTCCAGTTTGATATTACTGTATTTTGTGATTAGTGGCCTTCATTTAAACCTTGTCTTCTTGTGATCTTGATTTGTTTTTTGTATTTCATACATTGGAGACATTATCACATGGGGAATTACATGTACATGTATATTAATGTGTCGGGAGCAATTAAGCTTTTATAATTTTCTCTTTTTGTACTGGTGGAATGGAGGGGGGAACTCATCCTCTCAGCCAAGGAATTTAAAAAATAGCTTTGCAACACTTGCCAAACAAGAGATAATTGCATGTATGTCTGTTTGAATTTATTTACCAGGTTGTTTACAATGTTACGTGAACATTGAAAGTGGAATGTAGCACTTGATGCACATTCCTTTTTTTTTTAAATTTAAATGAATTTTGTGCGCCAGCCAACTGTGCTTATAATATTTTAGAGACTGACCTTCAATCGTGTGGAGTTTGTATTACGTGTGTACATGTACATGTATGTATGTACATATATGTTAATGTGTGTTGTTCATGCAACTGGCTTTCACCTCGGCCTTGGCCCCACACAGTGACTTGGCCTCGACCTTGAACGTCCTGGACTGGACCCCCCCCAACCCTGGTCAGTGGGCCCTTTTCCATTGCTGAAGGCATGGGCACACAGCGCTTGCTCTTCTGCATTGAAGATGATCCACAAAATCACCACTGTAGCTGAGACACTGAGAAAGGAAACTTGAGTTGAAGCACAAAAATTAGCAGAAATGAAAACAATGTAAGAAGATGGGGAAATGCAAATCACAACAAAAGTGTGGTTTGATTAAAGAGGGAAGGGTTGTAACTTTATAGAGACATGAGTTTTTTGACGTTTTTCAAGCACAAAGGCACGGCATGGATGCACTGAAATAAAAAAGAACACCGTAAACCGAAGTTCATTGTACCTAAATAAACGTTATAGTCCACTGTCACACAAAAGCTCTGCGCATTCATGTATACTGTGGGTAGTGCAGGAAGCTTTAGGTGGGGATGCACATTTGTACATGGGATGTATTAAGGTACTGTATGAATTTAACAAATTAACAAAATGCAAATTAGTGCATTGGAATTTATTCATTCGGAGATGGCAGACAAAATGATCCTTTTCCATCTGTTGCCCTGTGGTGTACATGTATATGTATGTTCCATAAGTACATGTACATGTATTCATGATTTGTGTGCCAGCAGTGCAATATGTGTACAAACTGCTTCTGGCAGCGTCTGGAAATGAAGCAAGAATTTTGGAATTATGTGTAAGGTGTTGCCTCCCAGGTAGCGTGATTTTCCATCACGTGAACACGACATGCGGTAGTTGCATTCTCCTCTTTTGATGTATCCGTCCATTGTGCTGAAAGTCTACAAAATAATGAGTCATGGTGAATGATGGGCTGTGATCATTCAGGTGTGTCGGTTCAATAGTAGTACGCACTCGCTCAGTGATGTGCCAGCACTGGGACTATAATGTGCTTGTTGTTGGGTTTTGTGCAAGAACACCTAGCGACCAAACAGTGCATTTGCATTGATTTCCCTATAATCCTCTCAGTGGGGGCTCTGTTATTCAACCCCCCAAGTCGCCTTTTCATGTTCACTTTCAACCTTGAATGTGACTTGTTCAGAAGACACCTGCCTGAAGCCCATTATTAGGGTGTTCGGTAACCAGGTCATCCCCCCCCGCACCGTACATGTGCACGTGACACCTTGTAAAGAGATGGCGGGAGGGAATTTTCGTCTGGGCTGACTTCAAGGAAGAAGTGGTATGACCCAAGCAAAGCAGATTTCAAATACCAATTTGTCATGTTTGTCGGCATTTCTCCTTCCGGTATTTTGTCATTTCACAGCGTAGTGATCAACATTTTCATTGAAGGATTTTGCTTGTGTCTGACACCTATCACTTGCTGCGCTGGGGGGGGGGCTGTGCCCTTTATTTGGTTACTCGATTGGTGATCAGTTATTTGAATTGGAGACATAGACCACCACACAAATATGCACATTTCGCCTCTGTTTTTGTGGGAATTATTGTAACTACACTCGAATACTTGATGGAAAAGAGGAACAAATATTTGATTATTCAGAATGATCGGGTGTAATCCACTACTTGTTTACTCAGCCGTGCCCAATGATGGTAATTGGCAGGGGCTGCTTGCACATGTACAAACTCATGTCATTTTGTACATGTACAGGCAGTTGCCATAGCGATTTCTGAGCCTCAAGGTAGTAGTGTACGTCCCGTGAGAACTGTTCAGCTCCAGAAAAGAATTAACAAATTTCACTCCAACAATGAATTGTACAGAACACTGTACTCGCCTGACGAAAATCACACAACAGGTCACTTCTATTTTGCTTTCGTTTTTTTTTGTTTGTAAAAACTAGACAGAAATTTGATCGGCAAATTTATGGCTGATTTTTTTTTTGGGGGGGGGAAATCTCTGAGGTGGTGGTCTATGTAGCAATGGCTGACAATACCCCCACCGTCTTTTGTCACAGGTCTTGTGGTGGTATGCTGCATCTGTTCATGTCTGTCAACCTCTAATCCCCTGGGAGCTGCGGACTACATGTTTAGTGATTTCTTTTTTTGGGGGGAGGACATATGAAGCAAGATATGAGATGGAGAGAACCCCCCCTTTATGTTGGTCATTGTCTGACTGGAATCTGAGGACTTCTTTTCAGACATCTATAGAGGATTTGTTAGGTAACAATAGTCTGGAGTATGTATAGTGATTGGACATGTTGGGGGATACCCCTCAGTCTCATTTCTTGCTGGATATAGGGAAGGGGTGAGGATGAAAGTGGAAAGGGTTTGGTTGCAGTGCTTGATCGCAGGCTTTTTAATGTTGGAGTCTTGTGTATAGACACATGTAAATTGAGAAGGGAACTCGAAAAGTTCCTGCTCACTGGTAACAGACGTTTTTTGTCCATGCTAAATGCACCAACTACATACATTCAAAGACCCCAGGCATGTACATTTTGAAATGAAAATTCCTTGTGCCATACATGTATGTCTGAATGCTTGATGCATGTCAGCTCAATTAAAGTGCCACCACTGCTTGGTAATAAAATGCAGATGGTTAAATCACCTTTGCAGACAGAGCGGTACATAACATGCTCCAAAGGCGAGCACGCAATGTACCGCTCTTTGCAGCTTGCAATGACGGCCTCAGTACATAGTTTGTTGGGGGTGTGTGGCATGAAGGTACATGTAGCAAGGCCTGTTACAGCATTTTCGATGTTAACAGTTTGGCAGACAGAACGGATACACCATTCTGTGCCCTGTTTGGCCAGCCTGGACTTGGCTTGAAACAAGGCCCTCTTGTCCCTTTCTTTGTTCACTTACATGTACGGTATTTGGGTTGCCCTGCAGCCCCTATGCTTGAGCTTTGGGTTTGACCTTGACTGCCGGAAGTACATGTATGTGTCTGTTGTTGGAAACCCTCCAAAATGTTGGGCGCTCTCAGAGTTTGGCAGAGTGCCAAATCTGCCTTGGAATAAAACATTGATGCACCTGTTTTTTTCCTTGTAATGAAGAGGGGGGCGGGAGTAATTGATGCCTGTATTGCCGGTGGTTCTTGTGCAATGCTTTGTGGGTATCCGTATGGCTGGTTTTTATACTGGTATACAAGGGGGGAGGGGTTGCAATTCCCATTTTGTTGTCTTCTAAATACATCTGAAGGTGCTTTAGAACTTCAAATCGCGTTTAATGTTCCTATTGAAAATGTTTTATCCCAATTTCGTTTTTGGGGTGGGCGGGGAATTGGACACAAAGATTTGAAAGAGCCCAACAGAAGCCATCATTACATGTACAGTACTTTTATGTAATCAGGTATCAGATAATTATTGAATTTGACAGGCATGTATACATTTATGGGGCAGTTTTGGAAGAAACATGTAGGCCCTATGGCCGATACATTTGTGCTGCCCACATTTACACAAATGGTCAACGCTGAAGAACAATTTTCACTGAGCAGAGCCAGGTGTCGACTTGTATGTGTACATGTGCGTGAATGTTGAATGATAGGGTCTGACTGGGTGTGGGAGATTTTCCAAAAAAGTTGAAACTAAAGGGGAACGGGGAGAGGGACCACTATGTTCATGGAGCTCAAATTACCAGATTACAGAACACTTTAGGCTGTATCATGTCAAGGGGTTACATGAATGCTAAATGTTTAGTGCTGCATGGTTTTAATGGGACTGCATATAAATGCATCGGTCCTTAGGCTTTCAAAAAGTAGCATTCTTATATTGCTGTCGACTTCTTTGCGGAGCAGCTGAAGTTTGAAACGGGAGGCATGAGCCTGCAGGTTGCATGCAGACAGTGTGTGATTATTGATTTGTTCCTCCGTTTGTGTGTCCTCCCTCTTCAGGTGGTGTACTTCACTGCGACCTTTCCCTACGTGGTTCTAATCATCTTGCTTATCCGGGGCGTGACCCTCCCTGGATCTCTCCAGGGGATCCTGTTCTACATCCGGCCTGACTTCAGCCGCCTCGCCGATGCCAATGTAAGCCCCCTCTCTCCATAACCCCTCAAGAGAACGGAACAATTTTTCACCTTTTGACCAACTTGGTTTTTGTTTTTTTTCTCTATTGTCCGGTCCATTCATGCCAGCAGTTTTGATAATGAGTGTGTAAAGGTCATCCGTCTGGCCTGGGCTCTCAAATTTGGTCAGTTGTGAAAAATCTGTTATAAAATATCTAATATATACCAGTTCTGTACGTTAAGGTTAGCTGTCATGCCTCAACACTTTGGGATATGGTGTGCAAGTACCTCACTGCTGATAAATCTAACAAGCAGTCCTTGGTCGGATGAACACATTTATTGCACAGTGGCCAGCTATGGGGGAAAAATGAAAGCTCTAAGGTTAACCTAATTGAGGCCGGTGTTGGCATTGCTCTGCATTGTCCGTTTGGATAATAGCAAGAATGTATATTCATTGCTTGGCTGGGAAACTGCTTTTGCCGAAGGAAAGGTGGGTGTTGGTCACAGAAGCTGGTGGTCACGGTGGTGATTACTTCCAAAAATGGCACGGGGATGATGAAGCCTTGAGAGCAAGTAATCTCCAGCCAGCATCAGAGCGGGGAAACAAAGGGAAAAAACTTTGCTGCGTTTATTGTCCACCTGTTCCCAGTACCCACACACGGTGCCATTTCTATTCAGGAAATGCTGTGAATAAAGTGCTGGCTTTGCAAAGTATTATGAGGTGCTCACTTCCTCAATCAGTACGTGTACACTCAGCGCACGCTTGCCATGCTCGTAGAAGTATTGCAAGTGTGACTGTCCAAACAGCCCCTCTAGCTCTAATCAGAGCTAGAGGGGCTGACGTCCTCAAGAAATTAGCCCATCTTAGCACCTTGTAGGGGCGTGTGGGGGTGCAGTGTATGCAGCAGGGGCAGAGTTGGGTGTGGTGTACATGTCTGCCATGCCCAGTGTCCAGCCTCTTCCCTGCGCAGTGCTTTTTTCTGCTGCCAGTGTACACATAAGTACTGTGCAAGCCCACAGCAGAGATTTGCAGCCCTGTAGGCACAAGTTTTGCAGTTGCGGTGTGCACATGACCACATTCATTTATTAAAGTTGAATTCACATGTAGCTTGAAGCGAGATTCTTTGCCGTCTTGTGAAATGGCCGACCTGTCCTGCAGGTTTCAATTTTTTTTCAGTCCACAAAGTGATTGAGAATGGATCCTCTGAGTTTCCTAAATGGTTGACTTGGTCGCTGTGAAATATTCAAAGACAGTGAAATAGTGATGTGTGGGTCAGAGATAAAATTCATTGTGATTCCTGGGTACTACTCAAGTGCCTCTCGTTTGGACTGATTTGCTCAGTTTTAATCTCCCAAATTCTCCAGTGAATTTTTGTTTCCCCTGGGCCCCAAATACTGGAGGGAAATACTTGGTTGTTGGGGAGTCATACCAGTACATAGGCACTTCAAAGCGCCTACATGTACCCTACCCCCCCCCTTCTAAAATCGACCAGGAGAAATGAGGACTTATCTGGATTGATACAGCAAGGTAGAACCTAGCTATTACATACAGAGTACATTGCGACAGTTGTTACAGTATCTGGGAATGTCAATGTATTCATTGGAGATTTCAAAGGGTTAAGTTTGGTATTTGCTTAATGCCGACAGTGCTCGCTCAACCAAAAACGGATCACTTGCCGCAAAGTCTCATGGTATACAGACTTTCATTCGTGGATGGGCCATGTCAAACTTGAAAGCAAAGTTAACTCTTCCTTTTTTTTTACCGGAGAGGCGGAATGAAAGCAATAAACTGAAATTTCACAACAAATTAGTCCACCATGATGAACAATCGCAAATGTCTGATCACATCTATCAGTACCTTAGTGTTTAAAGTCAGATGTTGGAAAAATATTGGAAGGTGCATGTAATTCAATCTCACGAACTGGTTTGGCATCGTCCAGATGAACAGTGTATAAGTTATGCGATGGATTCAGGGAACAAGATCCCTGAATCCTGGTGAACAAGGTCTGTTGCTTGTCTTTTGCAAAGTGAAATTATGAAATTGGGTCTTGGGCCCCCATTGGTGCTTGTTCTGAAGAGCGGTCTTACTGATAGCAATTATTGATTGTTCAGCCATGTTAGGTGTTCAGTTACAACCTAATTTTGCTGAGCAGGCATTTTCTTAGCTAAGCGTACTTCTGTGTCTTTTGGTTGGCAGCTGTATAAAGAAGTCCTAGGCCAGCGCCGAAAAAGATTTGCAGGTTTTCTTTCCTCCCAAACTTGCAGGTATTTGGGCCGTTGTGGTGGTTCTGCTTTATACTCTCATGTAATGGAAGTCTTTTCCTCTGAGTAGGTTTGGAAGGACGGCGCCGTTCAGATCTTTTATTCTCTGGGCCCGGCCTGGGGAGGCCTGCACACCATGGCCAGCTACAACAAGTTCCACAACAACTTCTACAGGTAATGTTTAAAAAAAAACAACTAACCAACAAACGAGCAAACAAAGAAATGAGATTCTTGTAGGGTATGCAAATCACGCACAGTCAGTATTGCCACTGGAATTTTGTAACTCACAAGTGGAACCAGTGTGAATTATGTTTTTGCTAAGACTGTCTTGTTTGTCGTTTTCCAGAGTTGAACAAACCATCGCTAACGAATTGAAAGCCCTTTTCCCGTTCATATCAGAAAATTTTTGTTTTTAGACTTTTTCACATGTTGTTTGCTTCCTTATCTCAGAGGGCGCAAATCTTAAGCTAAAGCAAGAGAAAGACACCTCTTTGCCTTGAGTCCCAACAGTACCCAAGAACAGCCTTGTGTACCGTCGCGCGGGGAGGGGAGTGAAATGGAGTGAAGCAGAGATGGAGGGATTTTTGTAAAAATTGGTAGACCCTCGGTTTGCCGTACCTTGGAGTTCGGAAGCTGCTGGGCTCGCACACAGGATCATTTTGTAACCAGTAACTGCAGCGCGGGTGCTAGTGTAATGGCCGTGTTAACAAAGAAATACTGGATTGGCTAATTCTGGAAGAACGCCAAGGAGTTTATTTATTTATTTATTTGTTTATTTAAAAAAAAATTCACCAACAGTGGCAAGCCGCCAATTACAGGGATTTTTAACAGATTAATATATGTATATTATTAAAAGATAAGATTAGAAAAATAAGGTTGTGTTGGTTGAAGCCGTACTTCACGGCGGCTTTCTACAGTGACAAACTACATATGTACCTATAACATCAGACAGGTCAGCCAGGGCTATATACCAAAATCTGCGTTTTTCCCACCCCACTGATAGATTCTGTCAACTCTGCATTTTGTTTTGGTCTTTTGAATTTTGTTTGTGTTTTCTTTTTGAAGAGGCCGTTTTGTTTTTTTTTCAGACACATTTGGTTAGTCTTATGATGAGCGCAACAGATGTTCCTTTTGTGACATTATCAGCCATTTTATTTTTCGAGGAAGTTTTTTCAGGTTAATGTTAACCAAAGTCGAAAAGATTGCGCAACGTTATTTTTTTTATCCAAAGAGCGTGATTCTGAATTTCATCTGAATGCATCCAAAACACATTCCAGAAGGGTAAAAATCATGACAGACATTGTCAAAATAACTTTTTTTCCCCCCCAACTTCACAGGATGAAAGCCTATTTTGAAACAAGTTTCTGTCCATAGATCAATCCGTACATACCCATGCACGTGGATATGTACAACGTCGTTAGGTTTTAGAGTCATAATGCACATGTACCTGCATCTTCCCTTTGCAAGGTACATTATGTCAAGCACACTGGGAGGCACTCAACAAATACAGGTAGCAGTCATCTGCGTCTAGCTCCCACTGCAGATAATCTCGTTCTTTATCGCACTGGAAATGAGTTTGCCGGTAATCCATTAGTTCTGATAAAAGCAAGGGACTTGAGTTGGGTTGCTTGACCGTGCTTGTAAGAGGGTTTTGGTTTACTGCACAGTTGAGGAAGCTTTTGTTGACACGGATGAGTCGGATGCATGTATGGAGGTTGGATGCGGTTATGTACATGTACCAACCAGCTCTGTGACATCAAAGGCCCAGTGGTACAATGGGTGTGTACCATTTATAAACTTCATCCACCATAATACGAGCGCCGCCAGTCTTGCTCCCTGTTTGGGGATAACCTGCCATTGTGGTTTCATTGTATTGGGCTGGGGAGATTATGGGCAGTTTAAGCTATCTTTGCCATTCTTTTCCCACGATAGTAGAAAGCCCAATCTTCTTTCTTGTTAAGGTTAAAAACAGGCCGCAGTGACTGAGTGATAAGGGAATGTACATGTATATGACTGGCTTGACACCAGATACCCACATGTAGTTGCTCCTTGAGGGGTCCCAGCCATTATGTCGGGTTACTGCATGTGTTGCCGAAAGCAACATGCGAGCCAGTGGCTAGCAGCTGCCTCCCCCCTCCCCATAGAGACGCATACTGCTCCCACCCACTGCCAGTTGGTTTGGTCAGCTGTGTATGCAGTGGTGCTGGGGACCAATCTGCTTTGCAGTATGTGTGGCAGCCAAACAGGTTGTGAGTTCGGTAGGGTACAGTACAATTTCTTGTTGAAGAATTGACGTTTATCCAAAGAGGATCATTTTTGATTTGGTTTCATTAGTTTGCCTCTGTGTAAGGTAACAGAATTCCCCTCACAGTCAGTGTTAGTGATTGCTTGTGTCCCGCCGAGTTCAGTAGTAAATCTCTTTTAGCTTAGGGGATATTTGCATATTCTTCAACGAGGCTTGGAGACCGTTGGTTACAAGTAAATGGTAAACAAGTAAATAACATTTTTCCTAACCAGTGAACTATAATGTTTGTGAATGCCGGAATTCAAACACAACTATCGCGTGATGGAAAATTCCGTCCCCCACCCCAAACAAAAGTTAAATGAATCAGGAAAATATTTGTTTGAATAAAGGTAAACCAAATCCTCATGCACAGTGGCATGACAGTGAGACACAGATAAATACAACTGTTGCGTGATGGAAATTTCCGCCCCCTGCCCCAGGCAAACAGCACTTAATGAACAAAAAATGCACTGTTGCATGACAGTGAGCAGTAAAATAATGCACCACACATTAGTGGCCTTGGCCTTCCCCTGATGAGAAATGGTTCTACCCGACATAATTTGAATAATGCATCATGAATGTTGGACCTACTAGCTCTATGGAGATCAGTGAGCCACGTCCCTGGGTTGACAGTCCTCAGCGTGCGCGCTGCGCACGGTCGCGCTACAGTGGTGCCATTGTTCTTGGGTACAGCAGTTGATTTGTAACCTCCGCCGGGCACCGGTACATGATTAACTGAAGCACTCTGATGGAAACTTCGATTCAACCGTGCAGTACATCCGCAAAGTTTCATTGAAATTGAATGTGGCTTTGTTCTCTCAGCCATTTCAATTCATCTTAACAAAGTGCCCAACACGCTTTGCTACACCCTGTATGCTGCTTTTAAATACTTACCTTTCAGCATGAATGGTAATGTCCATTTTTCAGTAAACTAATTTCAACAAACAAAATACAAGTACATGTACTTGCAGCTGCACAATACTTGGTCAGTTGGGGGAATAAAATGACTCTGAGTAAACTGCATCATTTGGTTAGACATTCTATTTCGGGTATTGAATGAAAATGGTAATGAAGGCCACCTGTTCTGCATTTTTCAGGGGAGTTGTGAGTGCTCTTTTGTTAATTTTATATCTTTTGTGAGTTTGAGTGATAATTCATGGTTCCAAGGTTTACTACGCCCAGTTACGAGTTGGGCAGTAAAATACCAGATCTTCCACATTGTGACCATTTCTAAGTGCATGTGTAAATGCACAGGTGGCATTGTACATTGTTGCTGCGTTCATCTAACCAATGTGGATGCAAAATTTCCCAATAGTTTCTTGTTAAACCTTGTGATAGCAACTGTCTTTTAGCATTGCAGTACTGTTAACAGTGAGCTACAGGCACAAATAGCAGTTTTGTTTCAACTGTTGATTTTTTTTCCCCCCGAACTGACTAGGCCAGTCCGTGTGTCTGTTTTCAGCAAACGGGGAAGATTGCTTGCATGCAGCTGCCATGTTTTGAGGTAAACGCTGCAGTGCTTTTCAGACATCTGTCCATTTTTGTTTCTCATTTAAGTATCTCCCATTTTCCCCCCCCCCTCACAATTCTGCCCCAGGCCTGTACCCTTCCTGTTGTGAAAGCAGGAAATGGGCCCCAGGCGATTGAGTGACTGGGGGAAATCAATGCGGCTGTCTTTGATACCAGATCCACACCTGTACGTGTACACGTACAGAAAGTCACTTCTGGTTATTACACGTATGGCTGAAAACAATGTGTGAGGCCATGGCAGCCGGTGGCCAGCGGCTGCCCCCATCTCAGATGTGTGCTGCTCTCAGCTGCAACCCGTCGGTTCAGTTGCGGTTTGTTCTTTATGCCTGGGTGTTTGGGACCAGTCTTCTTGAAGCAACAGATACTTAGCGCTTGAAAGGGGTCCTTCACCAGGAGTAAGTTGGGAAAAATAACATTTCTTGTTGAGGAGTTGATGTTTATCTAAAGGGGATTATATGTGGTTTGATTAGTTTGCTGTTATGTGTACAAATCTTTAAGGTGAACAAACTCCTTTGAATATTTCTCCCTTCAAAATTTACTGTTCCACATACGGGAGAAGCAATTACCCAAAATGAGAAATGGCAATGCAGCGAGCAAGTGGAAATTTGGTCTCGCTGTTTCTGCCCAAATCATTGTCATTTAACATTAAAGAAGAAGTTAAAGAGAAAAAAAGTGGATTCAAAGGTACCACACTAATTCTTTCCACCCCCATGTTTTTTAATAACCTCTTGTTAAAGAATTGCCCTTAACCAACCCAAAGCAAAGAACATTCTAAAGCAAAACAACACCCTCCTTAATGTTCCTTCACTTACATTTTCCAAGCATTCCTCCAATCTTCAAGAAAACAAAATCACACAACAAAAATGGATCATCCACCACTGTGGCAGTCCAAAAGCAGATGAGATTGATGTACATATACCTACAGGCACACAAACAGCTCATTGATTTTTGGGTTTTTAACTGGAGCTGTGTCACTTGACAGATCTGTATCAAAGGAAAGATCAAAGAAAAAAAAACAGGTGTGGTGATCTTGCTGATGAATTAGTCAGCTGACAGAGGGCATGTTGTGAATTTCCCAGTAATTCGCTTGTCCTGTTGGCCCTGTTAGTTAGGGACCCGGCGGCTCCCACTAACCCCCCCTCAGGGCCTCCAGGAAAGACTCCGTGCAGGCATCAGTCCTTGGAGACAAAGTGGGCAAGTCCTCTGGATGTTTGTTAATTTTAGAGTGATAACTTTGAGTTCAGCTTGTTGGACCCATCCACATGTGCACATGTATGTCACCACTTTAAGGCACACTGGGCCAGCATTGGAGGACAGTTGTCAGGCTAGGGTTTCATATAGGCCCATTTACTAGGGCACC